TTCAAGGCCTTTTGAGTCAATGTAAAGACTACACTGACCACAGACCTTTAGAGTAGACCTTCAATTATGGTTTTCCTGTTCAATGTGCATGATTTGGCAGCAACAAAAGAGCAATTATACTTTAGACACAGGGAGCATCAGAAGTCTTTCGAAGGCTTTCAAAGTTTAGTTAATATTAGAAAGACAGTGGATATTTAGAATAACATGTTTATGGTAGTCAGATGCTTTAGAATACTTCAGAAAGAGAGGGATCTGAGAAACCCCACAGCCTGCCTGGTGTTACTAATCACTTAATGCTTCACAATTAATAACAGATTGGGGGCAGGGCAAGAGACAAATCTTTTCTTGCTTTTTGTTTCAATATCTGTTATCATAGCTATGTGAAAGAACTCATTTAGTTGGGTTTAAGAAACGAATAAATTCAAAAGCTCTCACTCCAGAAACAAACAGCTTTTCTACAATCCTGCCAACGTAGAAAGCTCAAAGAAATTCCTTCCCTCAAGGACCATTCTGACTGCCAGAAAGCCTTTCAAGAAGGTACCCCAGGACCAGGGACATACTGCTGCAATGATACATGCAGCAACTGATCTGAACTTATCAGACCCAGAAGGAAGAGGAATATGAGTCAGTTTGCCTTGTCATGAAAGGAGCCAGCCAGCAGCACAAGATGGTGGCTATCTCAGTGGCTACAAGAGGGGTGGCTGAGGGAGAGCCACTATCCTTGGCTGATCAAGGTGTCCATTACTACTAATGGAAGTACTGGTTTATCAATAAGGAAGTTTAACTTCCGAGCACATACATGCCTGCCTAAAGGTCTTATCTGCAAAGTTAGAATTATGCAGTTGGAACAATCTGAATATCCTAGCTGTGGAGGGGCACTAGAAACGTATCAGCGAACTCAAGACACCATTTGAGACCAACCTGAAGAAGCAAGGCAGGAATTCCAGGAACAGTGTCAGGCTTTGTCTTGCTTCAATTATTGGATGCTTACATCAAACTCACCTTTTCCTCCCACATTATTCTCCTGATTTTTATTCTTTCATCCTCTTTCTCCTGTCCCTTTTCTTTCCTGGGGGGTTGGAACTGGATGATCCTTAAAGCCCCTTCCAGCCCAAACCATTCTCAGATTCTGATACACAAAGCATCCAGTAAAATGCAGAGGCATTCTTCCATAGCCTACTGAAACTTTGCATAGTGTTCTGAAGCGTAGGAATTACTGCACTGTATCATCCAACCAGAGTTTTGCAGTGAATATGCCCCATCTTTAAGCTGTTCCCATTAAGTGACCTGCATCTTTTGATGAATCTCACCTTAAGGTATTCCAGTTGGACTAAATCTGTCCGCAATTTCTGAAACAGTACTCAGGACTCAAGTTTAGAGACACTGAAATAAATGCCATCTTCTCCATACGTCATATTAAAAAAAAGCCATAGGAAGTATTTTCCTAAGGAGCAGCTAGGTATGAATTTCAAGTAGTGCCACTTGGCATCAGACCTGCTCTTAGGGACACCAGAAAATTAGAGGTCCCCATCCCCACCCCAATATTTACTTTTTTCTTTGTAAATGCAGTGTAAGCTCCTTAAAAAAAATGGATTTTTAGGTATGAATACACAGATACCAGACTCAGTTCTTCAAAACCAGAGTAAACAGATACCTGACAAACTGTGACTGTTCTTAGAGAGGAAGAACACTTTGCAAAATCAGACACTGGAGTGGATGCAGTGTGAGAACAGTTAAGCCTGTGTAGGTAGGTGTAAGTAGGGAAAAAGGTGACTGAAGAAATGCCGATATAAAAATACACTTACTCCAACAAGCTCCCAAATCAGTTCCCTCTGTCCGAATGAAGAATCTATCTCCTTTTCAAAGTTAAGCGTAGATTGGTTATGCAGTAACCAAGTTTTTCAGTGTTGTCCCTTTTGGCTGAACATGACCTATTTTTATAGTTGGACCAGAAAACCTCAGTGTATTCATATACACAGTCATCTCAAATACCTACTTTTCTCACTTGGACTTGTGGGGGGGAATATGGCTTTTCAAGATGTATTTTTACAGACGTTCTTTGCTAAACTATTTTTAACTGAAAAGTCTATCTCTCAACAGACTGGCTCTGAATTAAACTTTCTTCAGTATCCACTACAACATGAAGACTTCAGTGGAAGACTGGCTTTAAATTCAGTGGACCAAGGAGAATTTTGGAAGCCTCCCTAGTGTTTTCACCCACCCCCACTGGAAATGGCCAGCAATGACAATCCTGAACTGTGGAAGCTTCCCTTACCTACACAACAGTAACAGTTCAACACAGCTTCTCTCTTAACTGGACTGTTTCTGTCCAAGAAACACAGTATAGTCATATAATAAATGATATAAATAAAAATACAGCCATTTTGCTGCTTATTGTCCAGGATGTTACCAAACAGTGCCTGAAAGGGGCCACCCAGCTACTATTCCTCATCCAGTGATACATTTCCCCACCAAAATTCCACAGTTACAAGTGATTAGGGAAGTAGTATTTTCAGGACAGCTCACAGCCTTGAGGTACACAGCATCTTCTATAATCCTGCTTGGTGACATCCAACACTAGTAGGTCAAGTTAAGAGACATCCTTTAAAATTGATGAGGCTCAATGTAGACTTGCATATCTTCCTTCACTGGGAAGGACCACCACATGAAAACAGGGTTGCACCATGGCACACGTAGAAGCTGGCAGGGATGCTTTCACTTCACAGATCAGTTAGGTCAGAAGGGACCTCTTGAGATCACTTAGTCCAACTCCCTACCCAAGCAGGGCCATCTAAAGCTACTTGCCCAGCACGTCCTCAGCCAGGTTCTGGATCTGCATAGGCTCCACAACCTGTGTTTGAACACCTTCCTTTCCTTCTGTACAAACAGATCATCTTTCTAATGCGCCCACTGCCTCATCCTGCCAGTGGGCACCACTGAGATGAATCTAGCTGTCTTCATTCCCTCCCATCAGGGTTTTGTACACATTGACAGGATCTTCCCCTAAGCCTATAAATTAAGATAACAGCAATCTTCAGGCACATTTCCCACCTTATCCCCAATTTTAGAACAGCACCACCAGGTGTTTTACTGCAATGTTGTACTACTTGCTCTTACTATTACCATATAGAATAAGCACCTCCACCATATTTAACAGGCACAATGAGGGATTGTATCTTAGCAAGCTACCAGAAGCTCTAACTTACAGTTATAAAGTACTCCTACATACTTAGAATGACCCAAGAACTACCTATTTCAGAATAGCAAAAGCACTTGCAAGTGACCTCAGTCAAAAGGTTCAAGTTTAGTGACTGGTGTCATGAACTTCCACACCGCTTCACCGACTGTACCTCAGGAGACATTCTTCCACCAGCAGAAAGTACTGGAAGTACTGGAATGATACTAAAAAGTTACCATTCTGCAGTTAAACATTATGTAAACAAAGTTACAAGATTTCAGCATCAACCTAGACATCAGGCATTTCATTTAATTAACAGCATCAGACACACTAAACAAAACCAGCAGCTTTTCCTGTGACTTAGACACTCTCATCAGTGAGCAGCTAAAACGCAGTAAATAAAGGTGGCCTTGCCACCCATTCTTCATTCATTCCTTTTATGAAAGGGAATTATCTCAGCCAAGGCAGTCTTCCATAGTGGAGAAGACCTTTCTGCACTAGTCAGATGCTTCCACATGCACGCTGAGTTGGAGCAGAAGACTCTGGGTGTATGTGCAATTCCCAGCCTACTGAAACTCGAGGCACAAGATTGGTAAATACAAATTCTTGTCTGTGTTACTTACCTCTAAAAATGAGACTTCCAATGCTCCTGCAATTCAGGATTTCACATGGTTCTTCTGATGGTTCTACAAAATTCTCATTCTGTGCCAGTTTAAGCACCTATGTTTCATCCACTAGCTCCTAGGCCACAGGATGAAGACTGGACAGCAAATGTTTGTCTGGTCACTCATTTTGTAGAAGGCAGACCCTAACTGCTAGAACATTTAGACTGTGTAAGCTTCCTGAATCAGAGTGCCAGTGCACAAGCAACAATTCTAAGGAATTCTGATCCCAGCAATTCAAACATGACTTTGAGATTTATGACTACAAGCATTTGATCAAGTGTTTCTGAATCCAGGTTCATCAGCTGTTCTAGTTTTACATCTTCACTGTAATGATAAATATCTCAGATTATTAAAACAGTTTTAAAGCATTAGGTAACTGCTCTGTTGGGACCAGTGAGTGTGACCAGATGCAGGGGCCAACACTTAAAGGCAACCAGAATCCCCAGACAAGATAACCATATAGCTGCCTATGTAACACCAGTCAGCTCTTGTCAGGACTAGAAGCAAGGGGCACAAACAGCCCCTGGCATTCTTCTGAGTCTTGGATTTGTCCTTGGTTAAAACCAGGCTTGTTTGCCACTTAAAAAGAAACTAAACCTTGACAAAAATCAGTGCTAGAAGCACAGTCATGCACATTAGCTACCAGTAAGAAAATGTCTTCCTTCTGTACTTTGAAGTGACTGCATCCTGAATGGCAACTCGGACACGAGTTTCAGTAAAGTCCAGGTGTGAGACTAAGTTACCCCCATGTAGCAGCTGACATGGAATAAACTCCAAAATAATTAAAAGAAAGCAAACAGGTTTAGTTGTCTGAACAAGGAATTTTAATTTTAGGTCAACTATTGAACTAGGTCAACATCCAGTTCACAATGTCTACAGATAGTGGGCATAGCCAGTCACTACGGTAAGTTTATTGAAGCACCGAGCTCCACACAAGACTGTAAAATACATTTTAAACTACTAGTAAGAAAGCTTCTTCAAGTCAACAATACTATTAAGGGCCAGAGTTTAAGGACTAAGTTTTCACCTTCCAAGCTATTTTAAGACAGCCAATCATTTGCATAAGCAAACCAAACTGCTACATACTGAAACACAGAGCAGCAACGGTATTGAACAATTCCTGTAAATAATTCAAGGATACATTGAAACAGTATGGGTAAATTGTAATTTTTTTATTGGAAAACAAATATACAACTTGGAATGGATTTGAGGCAAATCGTGCCAGAAGCAGATTTTTTAAAATAAGTGGCTAAACAAAGTTTAAAAAGCATAGTAACAAGAGGAGAAAATGTTTTCTGGTACAGGACCAGCAGTACAAAAAAAACTTGTGTACGAGTACCTGGATAAATCACCCGTTTTGCATTAGTGCAACTTAAGTTTCATATTGTTGACTGTCAATCGTCCACAATGTTAAGACTCCACATTTCAACAACATGTTACAGGTATGGCCACAAACAAGTTACTGTGAAGCAAGCCAGGAGAATGATTTTTACAGTGCATTAGCCACATGTATATATACTAGTCACATGGTTTTATCCTGCAGTTAGCTGCAAGAGTCCTTATCCTCCATCACAGAAAGCGGAATAAGCTCCTTTATATACTGGAGAAATAGAACCAGCATGTCACTTTAACTAAGGAATTGCTAATGCATGGTAAACCCTAGCTTACTTTATGTAACTTGTAACACTAGTCATACCTACATCTCCTAAAGAAAGCTACTTTTTTTAAAAACAGGTAACCCAGATGTTCCCTCAGTTAACCAACTCCATCTAACTTCAGATGTGCAGAAGGGCTTAAATATCCAGAGTAAGCCACATGCAACATTTGTTACTTAGATCAATTTTCCAAAAATCAGAACAATGACAGTAAGATAAAGGAGAAAAACATGGAGGAATGGCCTTCTAATTACTATACATGCATATTCTTTTGACAGTAAGGGAAAAACCTTTTACAGATAAGTTACAAACAGAGAAAAGGCAAATAAACAATTTTGTACAAGAAATTTAACACATTCTGTACAACGTCTTCACTTCGCTGTCATCATTTGTACAAACTCTGCAAAAGGAAAGAATTGCATGAGTTATTCAAAGAAAAATCTGAACTGCAAGATCTGAGAAGTGACCTGCCTTACTAGTGCTAACATTTTCAATACTACACTTCTGGTTATATTCAAAAGAGCATCTTCAAGACAGTACCCTTTATCCACCAATCACATCTTAAACTCCTCCTAGTCTTAATGGCAAAATGCCTCTACTTTTATCAAAAAGAGCTGGTCCCTCAGCAAACTGGAGAACTGCCTTACTTCCAAAAAATGAAACTTCACAGGGTCCTCCTGCCCACTGACATACAGACAAGGACATGATACCCAAGAATGACTAAGATCAGTAGAAATTGTGCTGAAGCGTCCATCAGTTAAGTAGGTGTACAACCAAGACACTGCAGAGGTTTCTATTTTTTTTGTTTTTCAAAGCAGAAGAGCACAAGTGTTCCTATCTCACCTGGCCAGCTTTAAGCAACTGAATCACTGTTTATTCACAGCAAAACGAAAGTTAGATCCCACAAAATAGGATTTTTCACTCATCTTGCTGAACTATAATTTTAGGTACAATAACAAAAAGAAACCGGGAATCTATGAGGAGTTAACTGGTTGCTGAAGTTTCAAAAGAGCAATTGGAAAGAAGAGGGATGTCTGCCCTCTCTAGTACCAGCCTCTGAACAGTCTATCTGCAAGTACGGTTATGAGGCAGTAGCCTTGCTCATAAAAAATGCCTTTCACTTGCAGATGAGTGCTCATCCTGAGGCCACAACCAGAAAAGGCCTTTAAAGGAAACCACACCTACCCCTCAGGAACAGTAAATGTATTGCCTGAAAACACCCCAGGTCCTTTCTGTAAGATGTTCAGAAAGTTAAAAATGAAACCAAGCCTAGTCCTTCTGAGCTGCAAGTAATTGTCTAACAGAACTCCTCCTGCTTGCATGACTTCATTCAAGTTTCAATACCAGGAAGAAAGGAGGAAATGAAAATAAGCAAATGCTGCACCCAATTTGTGTGAAATCATTTAGTAAGTCTTCTGGGTATTTTAGGAGCCTTCCCCCTTGAACTGGAAATTTTAAGAGAATTAATGAAAAATGAGTGACTTCCTACATTCAGATCAATGCTCATTAGTGAACAAAACAGTACATGAACATCTCAGCTAGCTTCCTTATTCTAATGGTCATTAGACATCATTAGATTTAGAAAGTTATTTCTTACACAGCTGAATAGTTATTTTTTGCCTTTGGCACAAAGGTATTAATGCACTCAAGGTTAAAGCTATTTAGAGGTACAAAGTGTACAAACTAAAAGACATTAGCTTAAAGGAACACTAAGCGTTGAGAAGATCTCATCTGAACATTGCCCTGTTTAAATTTGGTTTGGCTATCAACATCAACACAATCACTGGCATGGAAAGTGCTACGCAAAAAGAATATGTTAACAACTCCTTACCTTCATAGTTTACTTGACCATCACCATCAATGTCTGCTTCCCTAATCATTTCATCAACTTCTTCATCTGTTAGCTTCTCTCCAAGATTTGTCATCACATGACGGAGTTCTGCAGCACTAATGTAACCATTGCCATCCTGGGAGGAGAAAAGGAAGACTGGAATAGACTTGCCTATGGCCTAGTGACTTAACTGTAGGTTAAGAGTATTGTAGAGCAAGTTGGACATTAAGGAGTTAACACAGCTTTAGACACTAGCACCTGCACAAAGCGAACAGAAGCTGTAAGCATACCTTTGGTATTTTTCAGGATCTTAAGTCTTAAAAAGACATTTTAAAAATAACTTATCCAACACATTTTACTCTGGCTGTCCTATCCAAGGCATGTATAGATCACTGACAAAGCAATCAGCATCTTCTGAAGCCTTTTTAGGTGACAGATGCCTATTCAGTCATGTGACTGACTGGTTCCAGCACCATTTCTTACAACACAGGCTGCTCATTCACCTGATTGATGGCAGACAGCACAAAGCCACAAGGCCTTCAGAAACCACTTTTAGGCATAACATCCTAGCTGGGACACTAGATATCCAAGTGTTGATATTATGAAAGAGAACCATTTTAAGAATATTTAAACAATTTCACTGCAATTCTTGTAAAAGTATTTTAGTATCAGCAAGTGACTGTGTGATAGTACCATTCACTATCACGATGACTCCTTTGATGCTCAGGTGACCAGAGTAGACTTGAACTTCAGGGTTTTTAGGTAACCTAGAGGGTTCTAGATCACAGGATTGAAGATACCTCTCAATTCAGTGAGGAAGCTCCTTAGAAGTCACTGAAGCTTCATTAACAAATATTTAAGGTAAATGTTTTAGTACCTTGTCAAACACACGGAACGCTTCTCTAATTTCTTCTTCACTATCTGTATCCTTCATTTTTCTTGCCATCATTGTCAGAAACTCTGGAAAGTCAATTGTGCCATTGCCTGCAAGACAGTTACTTTGTTAATAAAAACAAGTTTTAGACATTTTACTGCATTAGTTATTAGTAAAACCTTACCATCAGCATCTACTTCATTGATCATATCCTGTAGCTCTGCTTCTGTGGGGTTCTGACCAAGCGATCTCATCACTGTCCCCAACTCCTTTGTAGTTATAGTGCCATCACCATCCTTGTCAAATAGTGAAAAAGCTTCTTTGAATTCTGTACAACAAAAAAAAGGAGTTAACCCCTTCAGCTTTGAAAGGTTAGGTTTATTTAACCATGTAAGAATCCACTACTGCTCGCTGTTGTAAATTACAGAACTTGATGTCATTCTCTTCAGAAAAATCTCAGTATACTGCTCAGTCCAGTTTAATTGTAATGCCAATATGGAAGCACCAGCATCTGGAAAACATCCTGCCAATCTAATCAACCAAATTTTGACCCAAGTAAGATGGAAGTTCATCTGTTTCACAAGCACTCAGATGCATCTCAAACAAGGATCCCTAATACAAAGCTGAAAGGAATAGCTATCTACAACTAGAATGATCCACATCCTTGGTAGGAACTGTTTGTCTCACAAGGAAACATGAGATTACTTTGAGAAAGCTGAAAAGCGGTACTTAAAATACAACTGCTACAGGTGACTAATACTTCTATTACTAATAAAGATAAATCAATGGGAAAAGCTATAATCACTAACTAAACCCAAATTCTCATTATAACTCAGTTCTGCTGGGCTTGAAACCTGAACAACATATACTACATGAAGCTGTAGGACCTGCACCATAGGTATTAACATTTGGCCATAGCTAGCTGCAAAGAAACTTCCTCCAGCCTTCTCTCTCAATGAACTTCTGCAGTTTTTCAGCTTCCTTATGTACACAACTCCAGGCAGTTGATCAAGGAGGAAAGCCACTGGCATCTTAGTTTCTGAAAGGCTGCTTAGAAAATTACATCAGTGCTACTGTACGCTGAAACAGCCTTCACGGAACTAGTAAAAAAAAAAGGTTGTTAACACTGCTTAACTGCATTTCCATGCTACCTCTTAACCCTCTATAATAGCTGTACTGTAGCCAGCAATATTAATACAAGCATAACATGTTTAATTGTCCAGTCCAAAAATGGGAGTTGGTTTTAATCCATGCCATCTGTTTGTCTTTGGCCACAGACCTTAAACTTGCTCACTGGACTGTAATAGCTCATATAAAAGTTAAACATGAAAAACATAGCTGTTCTCTTGTATAGTTCAGATCCTTTTACAGCTTTCAAGTTATCTGAGATCATGCCCTGAAGAACATATTAGCTCAAGGGTGCTCCTGCATCAAAAACACTCTCAAGAATTAGTTTTTAGAATTTCCAAGCAGCCAGCTTTCCAGATGGTGGGCTTCCCAGACCAGGATTAGTCACAGTTAAAGCTGTGTTTTCACATGAACTACATGAAGTCCTACTTCATCCATTTCATACTCCGAAACACTCGAGGTGAGTACAAGCTGGCAAGTGTTAAAAACACAACTACAAAAATAGGCTTTTTATAGTTCATGAATGCAGTTATAATACCAGAGCCATGGTTGAGTCCCATCCAGGAAAAAAACACTCTTCTACATCTAACAGCCTGAAGTGTTCCAAAAGCCAACTCCCACTGTTTAGCACATAAGAATCAGAGCAAGGCTACCACGGGACCAGATTAAATAGTTTCAAGCCAGTATTGTATAACCACGAAGCAGAAACAGGCTTACCCGAACAGGCAGCTATAACCTGTGCCTACAGTAGCATCCAAACAGTCTTTGGAATCAGTTCCAGTTAGCTCAGGCAACAAATAGGTTTACCAGGAGTAAAGCTTTACACCAAGGAAGAAAAGGCTTTTAGGTCAAGCCTAGTAGAGAAGTTTGTAGTCTATCACAGAAGAAGGACCTCACAAGGGGAGCACTGAGTCTTTATTGAGAGTCAGATACTAAAGTGCAATTCTAAATGTTCAGCTGTTAACCACTTCATCCTACTTGAAGATCAACTGTCACTAGAACAAAGCCTTCACAGTATTGCAATGACCCTGCTGAGAAAAAGTAGCAATTTTTATGCAAAATCAGAAGACTTGCTTTCTACAAGATGGGCAGCGATGTATCCTGAACATCTGAGGTGAATCACTCAAAGGACAACTCTTCACCTTTTACTCGAAGATGCATTAGGCTGAGAAATAACCATAAAGGCAATAAAGCAAGTCAAAGATCAACAGCATACTCCTGTTTGAAATGCTGAATTGAGTTCCGAACACAATTAGAATACCTCTTCAACTACATCTAGGAATCACCTTCAGTAATCAGAACAAAGGAGTCACAACCTATAGAGTTTAGACTATGACAACCTAGCATAGCTTTGGAGGATTTACAGCAATGGCCAGTGAAGGCAGCTATGAAACACTGACGCTTAGTGAGCAACTCGGTTCTGGCTTCTGAAACATAAGATTATAAGTCACACCTCCCACACCTAAACATCTTATCACTCCATGCAGCATTTAAAGCAAATCCTCCCTGTATTCAACACTCCTCCATAGCAAGCTGCAAATGAAAATTCTCTTGTATCCTAGATAAGGCTAACCTGCCAGAAACCCAAGGGCAGTGCTGGCAGAAAACACTCATCTTCAGGCCAGCCTACAAAGCTTCAGCCTTCCGAGAACTGCACTGCACTGAGAAAAGACTACTTCTAGGCTCCACAAAAGAAAGGCTGGTCCAACAGAATGTGACCTCTAACACCCTAGCTCAAAATGTTCTATTTAACAATAGCTTCTGAGGCATGCCTGTACCACATCACCTTTCCAGATGAAGTGGCGGTCTTCAGTGACCTAATATGTTCATTGAACCAGAACTACCATTCCCACCCTCATACAGTTTAGCCAGCTATGTCTGGAACTTTTATAGGAGAATGTCAATTGTTTTCTTCACAGCTACCAGGAGCTCAACACTTGAACATGACTATTTCTACTATGAAATAAATTCTAAGTCACTCTTGTGGTTAGATTCCCAATTGAGAACCACAACACACTAAGACAGAACAAACACCACACACAGGCCTACTTGTTCAGTGCCCATTTAGACCTTTGAGACCTAGGGGAAGGAGTATAGCTCACTGGACCAGCTGCTCTGGGACAAAGCATCTTTGAAGTCACACCCCCACAACTACCCACATCACGTGGTTCTGACCTGTATAGCTTTTTTAATACAACACTTAACCAAAGGGATACCCATTTGACTTGGCAACTCTTAACTCTTACTGGATGAAATGCAGCCAGCATTGACACTAGACTTTCAAAACCAGTCTTTCATATGAACAAGACCTGGGAAGTCTTTCATCCCTAGCTATATAAAGGCAAGGACCTTCTGTCCTATATAACCAATGAATTCCAAAGGATATAAGAACAACTGAAATCTTAAACAGCTGTAATTATGGTCTTCAGAGGTAGTTTTAAGCATAGAAACAGCTGCTTTTATAACTTTGGCCTATTATTTAAGAAAAGAAGTATTGTCTCTACCTTGTAGCACCCACCTTTAACTCAAAAGCTACATATCTTCAGCTTAGTTGAAATGGAATGGTAAGGGGGCTCAAGCTTATAAAAATCACAGTCTCTGTAAAACACAATCTGTATCTATGATTGTTTTCCCATACAAGACACTGGCCTTCAACAGCTGAACTAAGTAGACTGCTTGGACACCTGCAACCAAACCCTTCCTAAGCAGTACTCAGAGTGGTTCTCCAACAGACCAGTTTATGTCTTCGTATCAGAGGTTTATGGTTTACCTGATGACTCATTTGCTTCATGAAATACTACAGTCAAACTGAAAGTGGCAGGCCATTTTGCACTGGATACAAAGTTATACTCTTTTCACACAGATGAAACCCCTCTATTCCAGTATGACAAGCCTATTAATACTCACTTTTGGCTCTGAAAAATGTACCATCATTACTGAATAGCTAACATTTGCACTAATCCCAAGGTGGTGTTAATAAGCTTCCTGTTTATATTCCATAATCAGCTACATCAACTAATAAAGCACCTACAGTTACAAACTGAAACAATGAACCATTACGGAAGACATAGCAGTGACAGTTGATAAAGCCTGCCCCAACTAAACTGATCACAAACCCCTTAAAATATGTAGGCCACTTCCACACTCGCACAAAATAATCTACAGTTGAACTAGATTTGGCTTGTGTTTACTCATAAGACAATACCATGGCAACAAGTAAATAGACTAAGGACTTTCCACAAAACCATAATTAGTCTCCTATGAATTAAAGCAAGCTTGTGAAGTCTGAAAGCTAAAGAATGTTCTTACACTTCAAATTTGGCAATTATGTTGAAAACAAACTAGCTCATTATGACACTTCTGTTTAATACCGTGTCTTCAAGAGTTACACCACAGTTAAATAACACTACCTCTTAGAGGCTGTTATTTGTATGCGTGACCTAGTACTATTAGATTAGCAAAACCCTAACACCCTCTAAAATCTTTTCACATGACAGTTATGCACACCAAGACTTTCTAGTATTAACACTACACACTTGTCAGGTCAAAAACCCTGAAGTTTTTTAATGTCCATGGCAAGGCCTAATTCTGCATTACCAGCTTTAAGTCACATCAATTATTAGAGCTGAGATCAGTCTTCAGAGAGCAGTGACAGATACTAGCTTGTGCAGCCTGCATGAGTAGGAGACAACAATCAAATTTTAGCCACTAGCAGATAGTTGTCAGTGCACATACATAAATGACTGTTAAGGGGAAAATACTAAGACACAAGATATGCATATTTATTCAAGCATTTCAAATCAAGTGCCAGGCCATTAGAACAGTGCACAGAACACTTGTACCCAAGCACACAGTGAAGTTCCAAATATGGAGTATCAAGAAGCCAGCCCCTGCTGTCATCAAAACCAGTCACACTGGAACATGCCTGACACAGGAGACTGCAAAGTGAATTATTTTTGCCTTCTGCTAGAAGAGCACTCCAGATTACAAGTCTTCACCAGAGACTCCTCCCCACCCCTTTCAGTTTCCAGTAGATAGGCCTTTAAAACTTGAGACAAATGGAAATATTCCACAATAGTTCCTCAGTTCCTAAGAAAGCTAAATATCTTGTGTAACACAGTCACTGGATTAAGAGATGTGCCAGGTCAAGCAGGAGTAGCAACACAGCATATAAAAACCTCACCTGCAATCTGCTCTTCTGTCAGTTGATCAGCCTGCAAGGAAAGAGAATATCATTATAGTTGTAGCAAAAGTTCAAGGCAAAATAAGGCACAGAATTCTGAATATGGTAGCTGCTCTTCAGCACTTATCTGTAGCATTCTGAAATAGCTCTAACAAGCACAGCTCAAAAGTCACGCTTGCTTGCCAAGCAAGAACAGGCAGCCTGCCCTCATTTCCTGACCCTGCAGTATCTCATACACTCAAATAATAGATTAACATGTGTACCAAGCAACACTAGCAAAAACTCAAGGCACCATGCCCCTCTATACAAGTTTTAAACTCAGTAACGCAGCAGCCTAGTGGTAGTTGTACTTTGGCAAACCTCATTTTTAGACCAAAAGCATTCAGCATTAAGTAATGTGAGAGTAACCCCTAAATCCCAAATTCAAGGCTGACTATTCTCTTCTGCTCAGTTAAAATGCCATAATTAGAAAGATGTACTCTTCTCTAAAATTAAATCATCCCTTGATTAACATGAAGCTTCATGTCCAAGACCTGATCATTAAAAAAAAAACCAACAATCTATAATCAGTATTAGCAGCTTAAGCCCAAACTGGTAATTTCAATGCATTTGTCATATGGATGTCTAGACTTTTCTTCAGAGCATTGTCTACTGACTGAAGTAGCATCAGGTAGTTTACAGGATCACTAGAGAAAGCTTCAGTGGTGCAAGACATGCAATTGCTTTATCAGTTAATTAACCCTTTGTTTCATCACTGAAAAGTTTTAAATCAACTGGATTTGACAGCAATAAGAAAAACACCACAAAACCAAAAACAACCCTTAGTCTTCGAGGCCAAACTCAAGATGGGCTTCACTCTTAAAAGAGAACACAAGTGTTTGAGAACTGTTGAAGTACTTTCCCTAGGCTTTCAAGATAGCAGATTCATCAAATTCTGGATAGCTTCAGTTCAGCTGCAGTAACCAGGCCATAGATATTCTTCAAGGAAGCTCCTTGAGCTCATTATCCCATAGCACTCCATGGAAGAGTCAAAACCAACCACTTTAAAAAAATACAGAAAATATACACTTACTGCCAAAGTGCAACACCACTTTTTTTAGTTTTATTCCTGTTGTGATCACTTCAAGAAGCACCTTTTTAGGATTACTTCAATACTGACAGCTAGTAAGGTTTTCAGTTATTAGCTGTGCCCACCAAGGTCTCTATACACATTAGCTATCTTCCAATGAAATAATTCAGAAAATGTATATACACCACCTGGTTTTTTTTTTTTACAATTTGAATTACATTTCCATATTGTGTAGCAACTTAGACATTACCAGCTCCTGGTTATTCTTCCTGCAATAGAAGTGACCCAAGCTGCTCAAGAAACCATGTAAGAGCTAAACTATTCTTGCACAGTACCACACATGCAGTACAGCAACAGCCCAAGGTAAAGGCTATGATCAGGGGGTTCTCAGACTGTTCGTGGCTCACCTGAGCATCAAGACCACAGTACTGAGTAATTTTTTAAAAAAGCAGCCAGTGGATATTTGCAGCTACAGACTCCACCTGTCCCGATTTCAGTAGCTGTAGAAAGTATTCCCACACATGTTCAATACTGGTTTAAAAAGCAAAACAAAAAAAACACCCTGAGATAGTCTAGGGCAGTAGCAACAGTGCTGAGAACATCACCAACTCAACATTAGTCTGAGATGGAAGCATTCTGCTGGGCACTTAACATAAGCCTAGGAGATTTTTTGCTCATCTGGAGTGTATCATTAGCACAGACTCACTCATACCTTTGCATGTTATTTACATTTTTATTGCTTGAGTGAAGAGAATGATGTGCTACATTTCTGTAGGCTATTTATATCCACAGAAAGCTGTAGATCAGATTTAAGTAGCAAGAACCGAGTTTACTTAGGTCAATACTTATGAGTTACCAAGTTGAGTCACATACTGTTTTATATAGAGACACGACATTAAGCAATGTTTAAGATATTAGGTGTTCCTGAACTCTTCCTCTCTAACTTCCAGCAACTTAAAACATCCTATAGCCACTAACCATAAATTTGGTTAAGCTTAGTCAGTACCTTTAAAGAGGTACAGAGCTTGAGAACACACTGCTTATTAGAAGCCACAGGTATAGGGCAGTTGAAAGATAAGCTAGGAGGTGGGGCAAGGCTGAACAAACACCATCTGTACTCTAGAGTGCTAGGCTCTGCAGGGACTGCTGCGCAACAGCAGTAAAAGGCGGAGCCAGTAAGGCTGCCAGATCGCTCCCTCCTATGCCACTCAGGTGGAGGGCTATCAGCCCAGATCCATGCTACTGGGGACTCCTAGAGTTCTGGAGTTCTTCGTCCTGAGCTTAAGCTAAACACTCATGCATCACACATGTGGCAATATGCACAACTCCAGCGATGCAACCAACTTCAGAAACTAACAGATCATAATAGGAACCTGCCCTATGCTGGAGTTTTGACATGCCCCTTACTACAGTCAAGATCCACCTGAAAACCTCCTCTGGTGAAGGCAGGAAACCCATCACAGCTTTGACACGGCATTCTCCAATTCATATTGCGGCACTTTCATTTTCACTGCAGTGGCTCCCATCCCCCCACCCCCGGATTGTGTTGAGGGCCTGACAAAGAATCTTAGCCTGCTAGGAAAGAAGGGGAGCTGTTGTGCTGCAGCAGTTTCAGTGGCACATGCAGCCTCTAGAGGTAGTGTTCCATTACAGTCGTAGCTGCTATGCTGTAATCAGTTTGGAAGATCCTCAAGAGAGCTGACTAACACTGCCTGATAGAGAGCTATCAGCACATCACAGAACAGACAACACTGTCTCCTTCCACAACATGGCATTTCAGTACATTTCACAGGTGTTTGGTCTGAATGGAGAGTTCTATTCTTCAAAGATTAATTTAAGAATGAGGACTAAATAGACTATCATATAAGGGCTAAAATAGTAGGTTAGCTTATTCTGGGAGCAAATAATCCTGCTTTATCTAGCATGTGCGGTATTGGACAACATTATTCACAGGTTTAGCCAGTCTGGTCTGTTCGGATAACTATAACCACAGTCAAAGTGTCACTGTGCCTCCTGGACACACCCATCTTTTATATAGACCTTGCTTGAAGATACACCATTTTTGGTTCTGTACAGACGATGATTACATGCAGTAAGAGGCTTTTGTTGCTAGATTCAGTTTTTTTTTCTTTACAGACTGTGTGCTGTACAGGTTTACAATTCAAGCAAAAGAACAGATTCAGGATTCTGTTCACCTAACTTATTTGCCCAGAGAGAGCACTTAAAGATACACTTAATTTCTAAGCGCCCATCGTTCACATTACACACAGCAAGCTGCCAGTGATCTGATTCTTTTAAAGCATACATACATTCCCATGTAATGAATGAAAAGGCAATTCCACTCAACTGCATCTTCTCTTAATGCAGAGATTAAGCAATTGGTCACTGGTGTTGCTTTTGCGACAGAACTGTTCCTTTTTGTACGTGTTTCAGCATCCACATGTTTTAATTAAAAAAACTCGCTAAACTCATATCCATTAAACCGAATTTGAAACAACTCTCCAATTCCACAAAACACATTTTATTTCGACACTTCATTAAAATCCTAAACAAACGTATTGCTAGGAAAAACTGTGCTTGACCAAGAAAATGTCCACCGCAATGCCCAAAACGGGAAGCCAAAGCTGTTAAAAAAAAACCACCATAATTCCTTGTTCAACAGAGCCACCGACAGCAAGGCGTTATCATGAAATCGGCAGGAGAAAGCGGCTCCAACGTGAGCTGACAACAGGTCTAGCAAGGAGGGAGATGGTGCAGTGAGGCAGCCTGCCCCTCATCATCATGCTGCTCAGAAGCTGCAGGGCTCCGCATTGCATTATTACCAGGCGCAACACACCTCGCTAGCGAGCCAGACATCTTAGGCGCTCGCAGCAGCCGTTGCCGCGCCGCTGGCTCCCCAGCCCCATTCAGCCGCACACGCCGGCTTTCCAGGGGAGGGAAAGGTGGGGGGGGGGGAGAGGAAGCGATAAGAAAGCGGAGCTGGTGCCATCGTGGCAGGCTTCTTCCCCCCTCGCGGATCTCCTCCCAGGAGGAACCGTTATCTGCCGCTCCCCCCCGCCCCCCAACCGACACACGCCCCGACAAAGCGTCATGGCGCTCGGACCGAGTGGCAGTTTGAATTTTGAATCCGCACCAACGCCCCTGCCTCGGCGGGAAAGGGACCCGGGCGGTATCCGGCCACCATCACCACCACCACTACCGCTTCTTCCAACGCACACGGCGCCTCCGAGCGGGACCCTCCGCCCCAGCCCGCTCGCACTGCAGGGCTGCGCCCAATGGCCGCAGCGACAGACGCCTTCACCCCTACCCCCCCCCATTATACAGGCAACCTCGCCCCACACCGACCAAACCACTTACCCCTCTCCTCCCCCCCACCCTTCAGCCACAAGCACTCGCATCCCCCTGCCCCACACACCAAACTCCGGACCAGCACCCGCAAAGCCCTGCCGCGCTCCCATGCCTAGGGACTCACCATGGTGGCCCGGCCTGGCTGTGGGGTGTGGTGGAAGCTAACGGCTGCACGGGGCTCACGAGCTACCAGCCCGCTCAACGGCTCGCCTCACACTGAGCGCTGCCTGCCCGCCAGCAGTGCCTCATAAACCTCCTCACAGCCCGCCCGGATCGCTCCGCGCCGCTCCCTCCCCCCTCCTCTTTTCCTCTGCGGGGAACAGAGCTGAGAAAGAAGTTCCGGCTGTTCGCGCTCATCTGGGCACGACACCCCCCCTCCCCCCGTACCCCGAGCGCATCCCCTTTCTGCCCCCAAACCCCCAGGCCCAGCGCAGGAAGGGGCAAGGTAAGGGAAAGGGAGGGACTGCGCTTGTAGAATGGAGAGGGCGTGGGGGGGATGCGCCGGGGTGGGGGTGGGAGATTGTCAGGCTGAGGAACTATTTTCCAGGCGGAAGAGGATCTTAGAAAAAAATACCGATGAGTGCAGAGCCTCCAGAAGGAGGGCGCTGATTGGTGGATTCGTACCTGCAATGCGTCACTTGGACATGCACAGTCTGCGCTGCGAAGCGGTTACCCTTCCCCCCGCCCGCAGTGCGTGAGGCCCGGCCCGGCCCGGCCCGGCCCGCTCCGCTCCGCTCCGCTCCCGGCAGCGGCAGCCACCGGGTGTGCCGGGCAGGCAGGGCGCCGGGGGCCGCCGCAGAGCGCTTGTGGAGGGAGAGGGGGAGCAGGGCGGCCTCCCCCCCTCCATCAGTCTCCTTCTTCCATGACCTCCTTCCGCAGCCGCCCTGGGTGCGTTCGGTGCTCCCCGCGGCGCCCCTGAGAACCACCGCCGAGAGCGCGCTGGCAGAAGGCTGCGCTCCGGCAAAGCCTCACCCGCAGGGTTACAAACGAGGCCCGCTCCGCATCCAGCGCGGGCCCGGAGCGCTCCCACTTGGAGCCGCAGGCCGGAGATGCGTCGTTGTTGGTAGCATTGTTTGGTAGAACGGGTCCTCTGTGGGGAGCCACGCACAGGCTGGGCTTGTGCCCGGGGACGGATGGACAGTGGCTCTGAGCCGAAATCACGTTTGCCCGAATGCATCTTACCAGGGGTTTCTCCAAAACGGAGTTGGGCAAATGGCTCCAGGCAACATTTCCAAACTTGCAGATGTATTTTCCAAGGCATATAGTGTGCTGAAAACCAACAGATAATTGAGCAAAGAGCTGTGATGTTGTTGAGTTCAGTGAAAGCAGGCCTACCCGTCCTGTCCAAAACCCACAATGCTTACTTTGGGACTGTAAATACGTTATTAAACCTGGGGACAGGTCTGAGTTTTATGGCCCAAGTTGCACTACAAATTACCTGTAAGGTTACAATAAAAATTACCTACTTCTGTATCTACTGCAAGAATCACTTGGTTGATATTTGTATAGTACTTAAATAATATTTTATACCTATCTACTCACCACTAGACAAACTAGAGCAATGGTTCTCACTACACACTAAGGAGGTTTCGCTCATCTCTGCTACTTGCAGCCTTTTTGGTTTGTAGGCCATATAAATAGGATGTGCTTGGGAGGGGACTGGCACACACAAACTCCTAACAAAAACCTGTGACTTCTTCCCTCTGAATAAGGATTGAAATTCTCAGACCTGCTCTCTGCGTTGAGGTAATCTTGTGTCCACTGAGTTCAGGAGCAAAGGAAGAAGAAACAGAGCAAGACTTTTTTATTCCTTAAAATAATCAGAGACCCCTTCATCAAGCCCAGTGCCTCATCTTCTCTACCTCACTCTGTGACCATAGGGAATACAGAAAACAACATCATGTACTTAAATTTGGCCTTCAGCCTCAAAATCTGCAGTTACTATTTCGTGACACATTAGGGTTTTAGGCCTCTGTTCTGCTCAAGCATATATATAGACCACAAATTAAGCACATCTAAACTATTGTCTTTTAAACTCTGATAACGTGCTTTCAACGTGTAATATATACTTAGACAAACAAAATACATGAACTAGGAGCAAATCCCCACCTAAGGCCAGGCTGTGCTCAGTGCACATCAATGAAGCATCAGGATGGCTTCAAGCAGTTTTACTCCATCAGTTCAGTTTTAAGGATTGCTCTGATGATCCCAGCTTCTTTACAGTTCCAGAAGTGTGAATCACTGCAGACAAGTTCTTGACCAAAAAAAATGTGTCACCTGCTCTACATTTGGGATAAAAGCAGCATAGCACCGCTCAGGGTGCATGCGTGTCGCACCCTCCAATCTGGAGTGGAGCAGAGTGCTGGTGCATCTGTGGGGACCAAAACCATCTTCTGTGGAGACGTTTGCTTGGGTCCTGGCAACAGAACACCCACGTGTGCTTGGTGTTGGGCCTGGTTTGCCAAGCCCTTTCCTTGGCACCCATCCTTTATCCTCACAGCATCACAGAGAGCTTTACAACCTGGGTTGCTCAGGTGCCAAGGCTCAAGGAATCGGTTGGACGAGGTATAGGAACATGTCTTTGAGGCAGGTCCTGAGATTTGATGGGAATTATGTGGAAGGGCTGTACTGAGACAGCGTGTTCTGCCTGAGTCCTGTACCTGGAGTTTGTCACTGGCTGTCTCAGGAGCACAGAGGCTGTAGGAAATGAGGCCCACAGCATAAATAAAGTGTAGGCTCCATAATTATGGCCTACGGGTTTGGCAAGGAGCAGGGACTTGAATGCAAGAATTTCAGGTCCCAGAGAACCTGACCACCATATTGTTTATTTCTGTATATGTCAATTAAAGTATTGGGTTTCTGTAATATAGTAAATTCTCCACATTCTTTTTAATTACATTCCATTTTCTCTAAAGATAGAAGAAGTCATTCAGAGCATCCTCTCTCTGCTGTATGTTTCTCATGCCCCCTGGTTCCTTGAGCTCCTTCTCTCCCCTTTCCCTGTTCTTATGTGTCTCCTTTTTTCCATCTGCATTTTCCTCCAGCAGCACCCATTTCCTGTGGGTTTCATCACCACCCCCACCCTGCTTCCATCTGTTGAAGAGATCAGCCACGAAGTTAACTTGCAATTACACTACCAGTGAAATTACACCAACACTTACAGCGGCATTACTAAGCATTAAAGTGAACACCCCAGTGAAATTAATGGGAGAGGGGGGCATTCACGCCTCTCAGAAACAGGTTGTCAGCACTCTCAGGTGGGTAAACGGCAGCTTCTCAGGTATATTGAGCCCAGGGTCCTCTCTGGGTGGCATAGAGAGGCAGGATTGCTTTCCAGCAGCCTAGCTGACACTCTCTGCAGCCTGCATGTGTCATGGGAGGCAGAGAAATACATCAAATGACCACCCGCAGCTGCGGGCTGCAACTCTGACACCTTTAACAGAGCAATAATGTGGATTGACTGTAATTTCTCTGTAGCAATGGTCCAGTATAGCTCTGCCAACTCAGACATTTTAACATGATAATTTCTCTCTCAGGTATGTAATTTAATAGATACGTCAACATTTGTGCGCTGTGCTCCCCCCAGCCTCTCAGAAACATAGCCTTCTAAAAGTCCAGTTTCAGGATTGGGACAACAAATTAGAAAAGCAGTGAGTTACCAGATAAAATGAGCTGTATATGCCAGCAATTTTCACAGTTACTGTATGTGGTATATTTAATACTGTGTAAATTCAGTTTATCCTATTGTTTTAATAATACCACAGTGGAATGTGTGGACCGATTTGTACAGCGTGCTCTGCAATGGTATAAAACTCTATAGCTGCCTCCTCAAGTTTTGCTATGTCATTTCTGTGTGGATTATAATAATAATTCGAACAACCTAATTAGAAATTAGTTGCAAATTTTGTAAGTGAATTTCTGAGGCAAGAAGAAAAATGTTCTCTACTTACAGCAAGTACTAAAACTTAGCATTTAACTAAGTGCTACATACAGAAAGGAAATAGCTCATAGCTGGGTTTTGCATAAGGGTCTAATTTTTCTCAGCTTTGTCTGTAATAGGGAACCTGTCACCCTGAGAAAGGCCTTTTATCTCCAATTCCAACTTTATGGGGATAAAAACTAGGGTGTAAATCAATATTTAGCCACCCAAATGTAGTTGGAAGGCCCACTCAGCCCTCAGGAAAGGAAAAACTTTGCTGTGTGCAAAATTTTAAGGTGCTAAATGAGACATCCCTGTACGTGGTATCCTGAGAGCATCTATTGATCAAACAACCCAGAATGCTGAGAACTGGGAGGAACTGGGATGGCTGCTCATCCAGCTACCCTCACTTCACCTGGATGGCAGCAGCAGTGAAGAAAATACAGAGGTCTGTTGACTGTGCCTCAAATACAAACATGGCTGTGGGAATAGCTGCATCTTTTCCTTGCGTGTTGAAAGCCTTGCTCTGTCCTTTGTGCCTTATCGCTGAAGCGCTCACGCCTGGACTGCATAGTGCATAGTGCCTGTAAATCACTGGGATGGCACTTCTTTCCCTATGGAATGGGACAGGGTATGTCTCCCACTGCTTTGGTTTCTGTAGGAAGTGCACAGACAAGAGCACTGCATAGTCCAAGTCCCAGATAGAAAGGACTGCGTCAAATGCTTTCTGAATATTACATTTCGTAGCTGTGTCTATGCTGTGCAGGATGCAGGCATATCCAGATTGGCATTTAAGTAACTTGGACAGGGCTAACAAGGCAGCTCTAGCAGTGTGGTGCTTAATACAAACTGCCAGACCCACTCAAGAAGCCATTCAGGTTTGGAGTTAGTGGATACAGAGCCCTATTGTGGGGATTACATGGCTCCCCTGCTCAAGGCTACATGTAGTAAAGCTGATTCAGGTGGCCTAAAGCTGAGTCTTTAACTTCATTGTGACCATTCACTAAAATGAAACAAGATGGGAGAGTCCTAAAAATTAGATAGGTGCACTCACATTAAACTGAGAGAGGCTGGAGGAAGATGTGAAATCTAATCATGGGCTCTAGACTAGGATTAAGAGTAGAAAGCTAGTGGGATTCTCAGTCTTTGGTTGTTTTTTTGTGGTTTGTCTTGTTTTGGTTTAAGAGATAAACAACTGCTTCCATTTTAAGAGGGTTTCTGATAGCACACTGTCCCTAAATTTGCATCATTATCCGGAGTCCTGTGAGGAAAACATAGCTCTAGGTGTTTGTATCACTCATTCTGGAAGATGAGAAAGCAGACGAGGCAGGGGCAGTAGGAG